CTAGTCTGTTCAAAACAATCAGTCCTATTTAATTTAGCAATTTATTTGAGACGAAAACTGAACCTGCGAACGTGGAAAACGCAAAATTTTAAAAAAACTGGGGGAATATTCACTTTTGGGGAAATTAATTTCACCCAGCCGGGATAATTTAGGACCAATCGCGCGGCGAGAAAAAAATTTTGATGGAATTTTATAATGGTTACCCATTTATTTAAAAACTTACTTGAATACAAAATACAGGTTCCCCGAGCCAGTAAAACTAAATACAGTAAATAACATTGTTACAGTCGAGGCCCTTCCCGTAAAGGGGACACCCGCCTGAAGGGACCCAGAAATAAGTGTCCCAGCTTACCCTTAGTTACCAGTTTAGGTTATAAAAATAATGCAGTGTTTTGCCGAATGGGGGAATCACAAAAAAACTGACGTTGCATGCTTTAGGAGAAATTAGGAGGAGGTTCGTTTTTGGGGGGGGGTTTTTTGTTGTTTGTGTGGGTCAGGAACCTTTTGACTCCCAAGTAATGCCATTTAGGGAGAGGTGTTTCCTTTAGTTTATAGGAGGGTTAAAAAATGTAGTTGGGGGTTTTTACTAATATTTTTTTTTTGTCCTAATATGGCTGGCGACCTTTTGACTCAAGTATTCCTATTTTAGGAACGAGGTGGGTTCCCTAATTAGTGTTATTAGGGAAAAGGTTTAAAAATTGATCGTTTTTGTCCCTCCTTTGTCCCCTCCATGTTGACTCCAAGTGTCCCGCAGTTAGGAGGAGGGTGTCCCCCCCCCTGCTTATGGGAGGTTAAAAACAATGTAGTGGTTTTTTTTTCTGTGGCCTGGGGAACCGATTGACTCAAAGTGTCCCAGTTAGGAGGGAGGTTTGGGGTCTGGCTTTATGGGAGGTTTAAAAAATGTTGGGTGGTTTTTTTGTCTGTGGCTGGGGGACCATTTGACTCAAGTGTCCCCAGTTAGGGAGAGAATTTGTCTGCCCTTATGGGAGGTTAAAATGTAGTGTTTTTTGTCCCTGGTGGCTGGGGGACTCATTTGACTCAAGTGTCCCCAGTTAGGAGAAGGTGTTCCCCTGCGGTAATGGGAGGTTAAAATGTTAGTGGTTTTGGTCCTTGTGGCTGGGGGGGAACCATTTGACTCAAGGTGTCCATTTTTTTTTTTTAGGGAATAGGTGTTTTTTTTTCTTGCTTTTTATGGGAGGTTTAAAAATTGTAGTGGATTTTTTCCTGTGGCATGGGGACCCATTGGACTCCAAGTGGGTCCCCAGTTTAGGAAGAGGTGTCCTGCTTTATGGGAGGTTAAAAATGTAGTTGGTTTTTGGTTCCTGTGGCCTGGGGGACCATTGTAACTTTCAAGTGTCCCCAGTTTAGGAGGTGGTCTGCGTTATGGGAGGTTTAAAATGTCAAATGTTTTGCCTGTGGCCTGGGTGTAACCCATTTGACTCCACAGTGTCCCAGTTTTAAGGAGAGAAATGGTCTGGGCTGTATGGGAGGTTAAAAAATGTAGTGGTTTGTTCTGGTGGCTGGGACCCATTTTGGGACCATCAAGTGTCCAAGTTTTTAGGCAGGAGGTGTCTGCTTTATTGGGAGGTTAAAAAAAATTGGGCTGTTTTTTTGGTCCTTGGTGGCTGGGACCCATTGACTTTCAAGTGTGGTCCCAGTTAGGAGAGATGTCCTGCTTATGGGAGAAGGTTAAAAATGGTAGTTTTTTTTGTTCTATGGCTGGGGGGACCCATTGGGAACTCAAGTTGTCCCAGTTTTTAGGAGGAAGGGCCAACGGGTTTCTGCTTTATGGGGGAGGTTTAAAATGTAGTTGGTTTTGTTCTGTGGGCTGGGGGGGGAACCATTGGAAACTCAAAAAGGGGTCACACCAGTTAGGAGAGTATTGTCCTGGGCTTATGGGAGGTTTAAAATTGTAAAGTATTTCCCTATTTATGGCTGGGAACCCATTGAACTTCCAAAGTGTTCCCCAGTTAGGACGAGGTACGTGGTTCTGCTTTTATGGGAGGTTAATAATGGTAGTGTTTTTGTCTGTGGGGCTAGGGGGACCATTGAAACCTCAAAGTGTCCAGTTGTTAGGAGAGGTTGTCTGCTTATGGGAGGTTAAAAAATGTAAAGTGGTTTTGTCTGTGGGCTGGGGGGGAACCATTTGACTCAAAAGTGTCCCCAGTTTAGGGAGAGGTGTCTGCTTATGGGAGGTTAAAAAATGTAGTGTTTTGTCTGTGGCCTGGGAACCCACTTTGACTCAAGTGTCCAGTTTTAGGCAGAGGCTGTCTGCTTATGGGAGGTTCAAAAATGTAAGTGTTTTTTTGTCTGTGGCCCTGGGGACCATTGGAACTCAAGTGTCCAGTTTAGGAGAAGGTGGTCCCTGCGTATGGGAGGTTTTAAAATTGTTTAGTTGTTTGGTCTTGTGGCTGGGGGCACCATTGGGACCTCAAGTGTCCCCCGGCAGTTTTAGGAGAGGTGTCTAGCTTATGGGAGGGTTAAAATGTAGTTGGATTGTTCTGTGGCTGGGACCATTGACTCAAGTGTCCAGTTAGGAGAGGTGTCTGCTTATGGGAGGTTTAAATGTAGTGTTTGTCTGTGGCTGGGGACCATTGACTCAAGTGTCCAGTTAGGAGGTGTCTGCGTATGGGAGGTTAAAATGTAGTGTTTGCCTGTGGCTGGGACCATTGACCTCAAGTGTCCAGTTAGGAGAGATGTCTGCTTATGGGAGGTTAAAATGTAGTGTTTGTCTGTGGCTGGGACCATGACTCAAGTGTCCAGTTAGGAGAGGTGTCTGCTTATGGGAGGTTAAAATGTGGTGTTTGTCTGTGGCTGGGACCATTGACTCAAGTGTCCAGTTAGGAGAGATGTCTGCTTATGGGAGGAGGTTAAAATGTAGTTTGTCTATGGCTGGGACCATTGACTCAAGTGTCCAGTTAGGAGAGGCACGTGTCTGCTTATGGGAGGTTAAAATGTAGTGTTTGTCTGTGGCTGGGACCATTGACTCAAGTGTCCAGTTAGGGGAGAGATGTCTGCTTATGGGAGGTTAAAATGTAGTATTTCTATATGGCTGGGAACCATTGACTCAAGTGTCCAGTTAGGAGAGGTACGTGTCTGCTTATGGGAGGTTAATAATGTAGTGTTTGTCTGTGGCTGGGACCATTGACTCAAGTGTCCAGGTAGGAGAGGTGTCTGCTTATGGGAGGTTAAAATGTAGTGTTTGTCTGTGGGGCTGGGACCATTGACTCAAGTGTCCAGTTAGGAGAGGTGTCTACTTATGGGAGGTTAAAATGTAGTGGTTTTGTCTGTGGCTGGGACCATTGACTCAAGTGTCCAGTTAGGAGAGGTGTCTGCTTATGGGAGGTTAAAATGTAGTGTTTGTTTGTGGCTGAGACCATTGACTCAAGTGTCAAGACTGTCAAAATCTTTGTTTTCATTTTTTTTTTTATCTTACCTCAAAATTATTCCCCCAGGAATAAACAGTGCCAGATGAAGTAAGAAACATGGAATGAGAGTCACCACCCAGCCAAGTCGACTGTTCTGTTTTGTTCACTGCTTGAATACACACAGGATGGTGACAATACATCAGCTGCTTTGGAACCGCATGCTTTGCTGTATCCCCACACATACACACTGCCATGAACTGCATGTATCAAGAGAGAAAAGGAACTTACCATGTATTTCATACAATATAAATGGCTATGACTGTCTTTAATTTCCAGGAAATTTAGCCTGTGGAGTAAACCAATTTTTTTGGTTCCATACCTGGCAGTCCAGCCAACTGCATTTATTAAAAATTCAAAAATGGCCGCAACAAACAAGAACATATTCATTGCATGGTAATATTAACTTTATTCATTCTATTTGATGCAAGTCAGCCCCCCTGTGAGTTATCCATCTTAGAGAGGTGTCTACATGTATTTTGACTTCTGAGAGAATTTGCAGGTACATGTTACAGCATACATTGTACTTAAATTTAAAAATACAGTCCAAATTACGCTCTCTGAGCAGACACTCTTGTACATGTAAGCGGACAGCTCTACTTACAGCCACCTTGACAAAAACCCTGTTTTTGAACTCTAGCTCATACATGTACAAACAATGTACAGTCAAAGCTCTCTGAGCAGACACTCTCGTAAGTGGACAGCTCTCTCTATAACGGACAACCTTTCACGACAAGCCCTGTTTTGAACTCTTGCTCATACAAACTCTGTATTTGCACATTCCCGTAAGCGGCCGGCTCCAGTTGTGGGACACTTTTTCTACTTCCCGAGGGTGCTTGCTTATGGGAGCTTTGACTGCACATAGTAACAATCATGTACAATGTACATACCATCTGCAGCTTATGTTGTTGACTGTTTGCCGCATGCAATGACTGAAATCGCAGGTAAATCAGGAATAGTTCTTTGGGCAGATAACATCCACTGTGTCACCCACATCCAATCTGGGCCTCTGTTGTTTACACCAACAGCTGCAACTTGTCCATTTGTAAACAAAAACACAGAATGACGAGCTCCACAGGCCACTTGAGAAACTGGGCGATGTAAAAGAGTGTCCACAAATACTGGCTGTAGCTACACATGTTACATGGACATTGTAAAGAAAAATTAAGCAGAAAATAAAACTCTCACTTAAAAATGTTAAATAATAAATGAATATAATGTTTAAATGAATACATCATGTGTACATGTATGTACACATGTACAATGTACTGTATAATGGGAAATCTCACTTATATTATTTTTAATGACCATATAAAAAAACATATATTAAGAGGCTTACAGTAAAGTAAAGCAAGCACTCGGGCCAAAGTGGCCCACGCTGCCGGAGCTTACACTGTAATCCCAGTTTCCGTTAGCATGAAGCTGAATAGGAGTATTGCTACCTACCCCCTGGATGGGAAGCTAGTCCATCGCAGGTTTACCCCCAGTATTCTGTCGCCGGCACTCCATTTATTCTCCTGGGTGGAAAGAGGCACTGTGAAGAGTAAAGTGTCTTGCCCAAGAACCGCAACACAATGTCCCAGGGCCAGGGCTCGAGCCCGGACTGCTCGATCCAGAGTCCAACACGCTTAACCATTAGGCCACCTGATTACCGGCATTTACAACATGCAGTAAGAGTGCAAGTACCACTGCACGTTGAATGCAAAGTACATGACTGATTGTACACATGCATCACATATTAAAGAGTAAAGAGAAACAAAAACAACTTCACACCTGGTTTTCCTTGAAAATCAGGTTTCCTGAAATCATAACCTAACTGACCACTGTAAGTTATTCCCAAAACTGAAGCAGTCTCCATCTTGTGTCCATACAAGGCTGTGTCTTGTCCCGCAGGTGATGCCTCTCAGCTTTAGTACCTGACGACACTCCCAGGTGCAGCGGCCGTGGATGAGGGCTGGTTTCAGTGGTACCCACACCTAAGTGGGCCACTGTTACTGTTCCCCCAGCTGTAGATCTTATTATCATCTAAAACAAAAATTTGATATACAATCATGTACTGTAAAAATGGTGGTGGTGATCCGCCACTGGTAGCGATACTCCTCTAGCCACTTCATGCTATGGAAACCAAAGTTATTGCCGGCCTGCATTAAAAGCCACTAGGCCTTGTAGGCAGATTTTAGTTATTTAACCTAACAATGCAATGAGTAGGCCTTACAAACTGTATGTATAATTAGTAAACGCCAGTTCCTCAAAATTCACAACCTACATGTAAGCCTACATGAAATTATTCTCAACCATGCATGTGTATACTGTTACATGTGGGTATTTTTTTGTCCATCATTGCTGCTTTGGGAATTTGGTTCATTATAAAGTTTACAAAATTGGACTAACTTAGTTTGAAAACGAGGCTTTGGGGTTGAAATTAGCTACTAGTCTGATATGTACTTATTGTTAAATGTATTAACATGCAGAAATGAAAGCCAGGATTCTTTGAGGTAAAAAAAAAGGACTGTGCTAAACCACGAAAACACCGAAACACCGAAAACAGCTATTTTTTTTTCTTTATTTTTTTGTTAGCGAAAACACCAAACAGCTATTTTTTTTAATGGTTATATTTTGCTGATATAATTTTCGATGGAAAGCTATTAAAGCTGTGTACAGTAGCCCCATCAAGTTATTTGGTAGAAGCGTTGCGTGACGACACAAATATTAAAACGGCGACTTTGTATAGCGAAATTAGATAAGTACTCCAAATAAAATAAAGGCTACTACCCAAACAACTTTAAGGCCGCTTGTAGATCCACCCCTTATACTAGTGTCCGCCACTAGTGAATAAGCGAAGAATGTCTTCCTGTATTTGTTGACTCTAACGGTAATAATCCAGAATTTGCATTCGGCATACGGACGCAGTAGATGCCCAGTTTTAAGCTTTTCCGAAGCTTCTAAGCCTATACCTAAATGGTTTAGTGGATTTATTTCCAGTTGTACTGGCTCAGTCAGTAAATTATAACGATCCTCGCAGCGAATGAACGATCCACTTGGGTACGAATGGGGCCAAGCTTGTGATGTCTGGTGCGCGGCAAATTTTCCGGGAATTTCGGTTGACTTTTCAAAAAGTCAACCGAAAATTCCCGGTAAGAAAAACGATCGGCTTTGAAAAAATTATATTACAGATTTCTGAAGAAACAATTATATACACCCACCACAGTAAAAAAAACGTTTTTATCATGTACAACTCATTCATTTATTCAGTCGCAATTCATGATTATACAGATATATTTATATAGCCACAAAAGAAGCTGTGAAAATTGACCCGGGGGGCCATGCGCGAATTTACATGCAAGGAGGCCCAAAAAACAAAAACGGACAACAATTAATGTGATGATTGCAAGCTTTACAAAACGTCTAGTAGAAACGGCCCGGGCTGTTTTCCAATTAAATTTGACAAAACCATTTAGCTAACTCTTCGATTATATAAACGTTAAAAGAAAAAAAGCGAGTTATTCTCTGTTCTCCAAGAAGGTAATTAGTGGTCATGTTACATGGCGTACTCAGGTAAGCGTCACGCAATCGCACATACACTCCATCTTTGTTTAGCCCTGAGGATCAGGCTCTGATCTCAGGCTATTCTTTGTTCTTTCCATCGGATCAGTAAATAACCAGTACAAAAAAAATAGCTGTTTTCGGTGTTTCGTTAAAAAAAAAAAATAAGAAAGAAATAGCTGTTTCGGTGTTTCGTTTCGGTGTTTCGGTGTTTCGTTTCGCTGTTTCGTGGTTTAGCACAGTCCAAAAAAAAAAACAAGGCAAGCAAATTCCCCGGGGTTAGACTACAGGTTTGCCTAGTTCCTAGGCCTCTATATTTTGCGCGGTCAATCCGTTTCGGGTCACAGACCAAGCGAAAAAAGCCGTTCGTCTCAGATGCGTCGCCGAAACGAAATTGACCGTGAAGGCCTGGGGAAAAAGCCGTACAGGAACTAGGCAAGACTACAGTATGCCCAACCCCTCGGGATTACAAAGTGAGCAATTATTGTCCCAGGGGATGGGCACAGCTGGAATTGAATTGAAGGGCGACGTGGAAAAACGGCATTATGACAATAGAATTATATTGTTCATAATGCCGTTTTTCCACCTCGCCCTTCAATTTGAATGATGCATTACTGACCCGTTTATTTTGAGGGCATACTCCTCAAGATAACGGAAAAAGGAGACTCTGTTAGCAGGGAACTGAACCTGTAAGAAACCATAGTGTGACTTGATCCACATGCTACTTCAACCACCATCCTGTCAACTTCACCCAGCCACAAGGGGGGCATCCTAGAGCATCACCAATGGGTACATCTTCAGAATGCCCATGGCCATGCTGACCAAATTCTCCACAGCCCCATACTATAAGGAGACCTCCATTAAAAAGTGCCTTTCGACAGTGGCCCTGCTCAACAATAACTGGAAGTTTCTTCTTCATAGTTTTTTTATACTAAAGTCCATCAGTCTGCGTTTCTGTTTGGCTTTTCCATTCTCCAGGAATGAAATTATTCTGAAGCATTTCTACCCCTGAACGATGGCCCCTTTGGTTGGCAAAAGAGATTACAGTGTACTTTTTCAACCAAAACAAAAATAAGCGTCCAACGTCAAGCGTGTTTATATTGATGCATTTGATACTAAGCATTTGAACACGGTCTTCCATAATCTCGTAGACTCGTAATAATGCGTTCCTTTCAATATTTGAGCTGTGGTAATCTTGAACACAGTTGAGTAGTTAGGGCATTGGAGCAAGACGACATCATCGATCGTTCATTCAGCTCCAATCTGTCAGCATATTTTAACACTCTTGTTTGGGATCAAATGGCTTCTATTCGTTGTTGACCGATGACTAGTGTACAAAGGAACGAATATTACACATAGAAGCATTAAACGAAGACTTGCGAGCCAAATAATCCATGGATTTATCTTTCATAGAAACGCTAAACAAAATTCAACCCGTCCGCCATTTTGTCTCAAATGTCAATCATCGGCTCGAAGAGACTGGAAACTAATTCCAAGAGGAAATATAAAATATTTCGCCATTTTCTTGGAACTGAAATAATGACAAGGTGTTTTTTTTATTTGATTCTCATTTTTATCAGTTTAATTCGCCATGGATTCAGGAGATCCAAGCTTCCTCTCTTTGCTGCTCTCAATTGGTCGGGAACTAACCGATGATGATTTCGAGAACTTGAAGTTTTTATGCGAGGGGACAGTTCCTTCCAGCCATCTTGAGACCGTCAAACGACCGCGCGAGCTCTTCCTCGAGCTGATTCACTGCTGTGACCTGAACGACGAGAATAAAGACCCACTGTCCTTCTTTACTGTTCCCACATTGGACGTCATGACCTCAGAAATCGCCTCCTTGGAGTAGAAGGTAAGTCCGCTCTCGGGGGAGCACGTTGGTGAATTAGCGAAGCTGCTATAAACATTTCATGCTCGCACCCAATATATTTTGATTTCGACAAACAATTAGCGGGTGGCTTTATAACGATCACTTCCCATCTAGGAAATTAGTGGCACCGTCATTTTCAGTACTAATCGTAAGTTACAGTTTCGTATAATTACATGTGTACATTGCCTAGTCATTTATGGCCATGGGGGTGGATGAAAAGAAAACATTCTGCATGTAAGCTTACGTACGTGCATAAATTAAACTAACTCAGCTGTCTATTTCTGATACGCTGTTTCCCTAAATCGTTAAACAAAAAGCTTAATTTTACTTGGTCTTCAATGACCTCGAGAGTCCATGGGTCTCCATGCATGATTTCGCCGAAGTCCAGGGGCGGATTCAGCGGGGGAGGGGGGGGGGGGAGGTGGATTGGGTAACTAGCCCCATGGAGGACTTGGTAGGTCTGGGATCTTTGATTCTTGTTCTTGTCTTAAAAACATAGTGTACTAGCCTGTGTAGCAAGCATTCCTGTACGAACGAAGAGCTTTTTCCGCAATCGAAGAGCTTTTTCTGCATTTTGGCCGCACCAAAAATTGGGGCGAAAGCCAAAAAGTCGGGGGGGGGGGGGGGGGGGGGGGGGAGAGGGTGCAGAAAAAGCTCTTTCGATCGCAGAAAAAGCTCTTTGTTTCTCTTATTTAGTTTAGGAAGGGCTTCCATATAAAAGTGACAATTAAGGTTGACGGTTGTACCTTTTTAGGGGTTAAACATTCCTGGATGGTGCCACGTTAATTAGGGTCACTGTGAGGGACCAAACATTAGAGTTATTCTGTTAAGAACCGACTTGTTATTGGTACAGTGGTGAAAAATTCCGGTACATGATCATTCTTATCACATTTATATATGCTGTGGCTATAATGCCCGGCAGCCAGGCACAGTCTCAAATAGACTAAATGCCCGGCAGTCAGAAATATTCACCGAAATTTTCGGCAGAAAGTGTGATTCAAAACCTCTTGAGAGTATTCGATGTTTGTTTGGGAAATGGCCCAAGCGACTTTCAAAAAAATTATTTTGATTTTGTAGTGGGAACAAATTTCTGAGCTTGGGCATACCATGAAATCGCTAAGTTCTCTACACTTGGAAACAAATCTGTGGTCAGTCTCACGGGCACTCAAAGCCCGGCAGGTCACGCTGGTTTCAGAGAATTTTACTGAGGCCCGGTTGAGATAAAATAACATCTATAACC